TTACAGTACAGACCCGTTTACGCGCGGATGTCGGGAGTCAAGCCATCACGACCGCTTGTTAACGGACCGCGGGTTAAGAGGGCCATGCTGAAATATCTTAAGATATCTATATATACCTATATAATTATCTAGGATTACATACATATTCATAGCGTCTCAAATACTGCAGGCCTATCTGTTAATGGCACTTTGCAAGAATATAACTTCAAATGTGTAATCTAATAAAAACATTATTATTACTATACAGAGGTGAAAGTAACTCAGGACACTTACCGGTACGGGGCAGGGGTGGCTCTGGACCCTGGAAGGGGCGGGGCCTCGGGCGGAAGGGGCGGGGCTAGGAGTCAGCATCCCCCAGCCAGCCCTTCCAAGCCGCCTGGTCCGTGCCGCCTGGGGTTCCCGTGGCGATTTAGAGGGCCCGGAGCTCTGGACGCCGCTACCGCAGCAGGTCCTTTTAAATCGCTGGCCCCGGGGCAGCTGCTCCCTTTGCCACCTCCGCCCCCCGTCGGCGCCCGAGGGGGGGAAAAGGGACAGGGACCTTAAAGCGCTGCAGGGTCCTTTGCTGTGGCAGCGCTTTCACGTTGCTGCCCCCTCGGCGGTAAAGACATGCAACATGTTTCTGCTCCGCACTTCCTGTCGATTTCTATGTCAGTGAGTTAGTAAGCAAATCTGTAGCGCTTCATAGCAAGTTCCTGTACCGCGTGTTAACAAGTCTCGCATGTTAAATAGATAGCACTGGGAGGCATGGCACTACCGCGTGTTAAGCGGATTCGCACGTAAATGGGTCTGTACTGTAGTTGGAATATGGTCTGAACTCAGATACAATCACCTTACACCCCACTATTTTCTTTCTGTCTGTATTTAGAAACATCATAACTTAATAATTTAAAAGACAGATGAAAGATGTATGTCCAATATAGAATTCTTATTTACCTGTTATCTTGCATTGTAGTTGTTGCAATGTTTCGATCATATTCTGCCATCAGAAATTCACATATAATTCTCTGTGTGCCAAATCCCGGTCTCCTTAATGTTAACAGCAAACTCTCAAGATTTGGTTATTGACTTCAGTGAGAGTTACACAGATGTATTTGAGGACTGAACTGGACTCTTTCTATACATCTGCATCTCTAATTATGAAGGGTTTTCCTTTAGAGTATAATTTTAGAATTGAAGGTTTTGGTACCAGAAATCACCAATTTCACAAGAGGGATCTTCATGTTGCATAAATTCTGCTATATGGTATGAATAATTTGTTTTTTAAAGAAAATATAGTGCACATGAAAGGTTTCGTTCCAAAAGGACAAGAAACTGAGGTCCTTTCTTTTTCCATTTTTAACACTTACAGCACAGGCAGTGGCAGTACAAGACCCCACCTTTGCAGTGTGTCACAACCCTATTTTTCATAGCTTACCAGTGATGAGTGTTTGTTCATTATCCTTAGCCTCCAAGACTGGCATTGTCACAAGGGTGCCATCTCATGCCTCTTTTACTTAGTGAGTTTTGTAATGAGTGTCTGCCCATGATTAACTTATACAAGCTTTGCCAGAGTTGTAGTTTTCCAGTAAATTGAGTGACATTTTAAAAGCAGCTGCAGGCTTTTGTTTTTATTCACAGGTTTAAACGCAGATGGCATGATATGGACCTATAGATTTTTGGGATGCCTGCCTCGAGTTGCCTAAACAAAAATAATGAGCTAATCAGGCCATCCTGAGTCATCCATGGTAGAATTAGAGCCATTAGAGTTGACTGGCAGTTTGCTTGAAGGACCCACATTGGGTGGTGGAGCTACTGACTGGATGGGGAAGCCAATCACTGCTTAATATTGTTAAGTTGTTTTACCATTTCAACAGGCTTTTTTCTATACTTTTAGCAACATTACCAAGGTACATTTTCACAAGAAATAATGCAATTGTTTGTTATAGCTTTCAACATAGAATGGCAGGCTAATATGTTAAGTAAGGAACAAATGTCATACAGTAATGAAAGGATATTGTATTTTGACTATAACTTTAAAACTATGTATCACATAAATTCAGTTTTATGAAGAGCACAATAAAAATTTCATTCTGTCAAAATCAATGATGGAAAACAAGATGTGTTTGTACATTGCAGATCTATTTTAAATAAATTTGCACTAAAGAAAAAGAAAATAGGAAAGTAGATTCGGGAAGGTTTAAATTCAATTTGTAGCGCACAAAGCATTCTTAAAAGTTTCAAATAAATGGGAGAATGTTTAGATAAATCTTTTAAACAGTTGGTTAAACAGTAAATAAAGCTTCACATACACATACATAAAAAAGTGTTGGAGAACAGTGAAAGAAAATTTTCAGATCTAAGATGTGATGTTATCTAAATAAGATAAAAATGCATCTCCCCATTTGACTCACGGTTATAATAATAATAATCTCAAAATCACTAAAATCCTATTAATGTTAATTTTCACAGTGTAGATCTCTGGTTATATGCTCACCTGCACTTAACTAAATTGTTAAATTCATAACTTAATTATTCCATTGTTCATATGGACATTTATAATCTAACTTGAAAACTTTTCCTACAATTGTTCTAAAAGCAGTGGTGGTTCAAAATATTGTTTATTTCCTTCCTAGTCGCTTGAACTGGTAAGATGTTGAGTATGATGAAAACCTCCTTACTGGGTGCTGAGTATTTATTTAGGTCCTGATCTTGCAAAAATGTATGCACATGCTTGACTACGCACAATGACATAATCTCACCATTTTAATCACAAGATTTGTGATATTTGATGTTTTTCTTAAAATACCAGCTCTTCGAGTCCTGTTATTTTTTGAGACTCTCAGCTTTTATTGTATTTATTTATTTCAAAAATAAGTTTCTAGCCCTCATATTTACAGAGAAAAGCTTGAAAATGTTAACTTTACAGGTTCAAAGCTAGAAGGCAAATAAAAGGCCCTTAAATTTATTATTTTTTTTAAATCTAGTGATTTTTTTTAAGTCAATACCATGATTTTTTTGGGCCTTACTCGTGATTTTTGAACACTTGGATTTGGTGATACTGGAGTTGTCCCACTGAACTTTATGAGCCTACTCACAGTGCATTAAGTTAAGCATGTGCATAAATTCTTGCAGAATTGGGGCTGTAGTATGTAATATTTTTCTTCACATCTGTTAATATTGAAATCGGTAGGTCATCTTTTATACTTCCTTAATTTCTTGTTTTTTTTTTTTTTTTTTTTTTGTGGCAAATAGCCTTGCTTATTCATCTGCAGTATAAACTGGCTTTGCATTTTCTTGCACATCTAAGAAACTGAGATTTTTTAAAATGAACACTGATGTGTGTAAGTCTAAAACAATTCAATATAAGTACACAGAAATATATCTCACTGACAATACATTGGTGAGAAAACAGCACCTGTTTTATACACTGCACTATCCTATGGCAACAGTTAGTGTAACAAAGTTTGAGTGTGGAAGTAGCCACAGCTGAGTGCACAAACTCTCTCATAGGGGGAAAAAAAGGCAGGGAGAGAGGGTTTATTTCCACTGCTAATGTTCTGCTTATAAATAATTTTTAATTACAAAAAAGCTAGATGTTGACTTTTTAACATCAATCACTGTTGTAACTATATTTTTCCTAAATCAAATAATATTTGATTGGAATTTTTGTGTTTTTTCTGTTTCAGAAATGGTATCCTAACATTGTGACAGCCATACTGCTTTCAAGTGTCCTTGTTTTTATGGTTAGAATTCTTTCTTTTTTCTACAGATATTATCATCCAGATTATAAAATGTTATTGAAATGCTTGTTTTAAAATACTTTATTGGTTCTAAACAAATTAAACATGTTTCAGAGTCTCTATTGCCTTTTTTAAGAGACTGTCCAAGATTTTATTTCTTTATCTCATTTTTGTCCAGCTGCGTTGGAACGCAGGAAAGAATGGTTTTGTCTTCACTTGCGTGTTGACCGGGACCTCACTGAAATATCAGAACCACATGACAGCTTGATTTAAGTAAATGAACATGCAGGAGATTCATAATATAACTTGGTTGATTTTACACAAAGCTTCTTAGGGTATGTCTACACTACGAGGGTAATTCGATTTTACTTAAATC